ATAATGGAACAAAATCTCTGCATTTACCTTTATAATATCTGCAGGACAGTTGGGGTTTTCAGCACAAAACTTAAATATCATGGAACCGTATACAAGCATGGCAGTGCCTCTAACAATGGTGTGTTGCTGAACTTTGGGATGAAATGCCAGAGCCTGGAGATGGGAGAGATGTCATATATTACTATTTACCCAACAACAATGAAATTATATTATTAAATGGAATGAAGAGGACTATGTACCTTTGCTAAGTTTATGGTGTCCTGATCAGCGTCCACCAGGTGCACAGCACTCAGCAGAGCCTGCATGACTTCAGGTGTGGTTAGATCACCAGCCAGGAACTTTTCCTTGATGAACTTCATAGCGTCTGCATCTCCAATTGCAGGGACAGCATCCAGGATCCAACGTCTAAAGCAGAAATTTTTTCTCTTATGAAGCCACAGCCTCAGTGTGCAGAATTGTAACCATGCCTTTCTGCAACATGTCAGCTGAATTATAATATTAAAAATAAAGTTTTTAAATATAGATATGTACCTGTAAGCTGGCTTAGCCTTGTTCTGAGCCCAGATGGTCTCAACAGTCTCAGTTTCTGCATCACGCAATAGCTGGACCAGCTGGACAAACTTTAATGGGGCATCTTCATGAACCCGGGCAACATTGTTTGTGGCTAGATGAGTCAAGGTTTCCATAATCTGTGAACATAAGAAGAGCATAACTATGGAAAGATGGCACCAACCAAGCTCTTTTTGTATAAAACAACCAAAATTATAACATCAATGGTAGTGATACAAGAGCAAAGGGAAACTGTAATCTCTGACTTCTGCAGTCCCACAAACTAGGTGAGCATCTCTAAATTGCTTATAGTCTGTGAATGTATGTACAGTATGTACTGTGATAAACTGGCATCCTACCCAGGGTGTCCCATGCCTGCCACCCTCTACTGGATAAGTGACCATAAAAGATAGATGGTAAGAAGTAATACCTGGGTCTGAGCATTATTGATTTTAATGAGTTGAATAGGCATCTGGTCAAGTTCAGTAGCAAATTCATATTGCAGGGATCCACGGGTGATATAGTCGGCTTGTATGGGCTGAACTGGAACATTCTGGGTCTCAGAAAACCGCAAGGTTTGTCTA